TAATGTCCAACACAGTAGACAGTAACAGGGATGACAGAGTATATGGGCTCCAGTGGGAGAGGGGAGCCTATGTGAGGGTGCCTTTTGGGAAGTGGGTATATAGATGAATAAGATTGTATGGGATGTTCTGTATGATATACACAAAAATCCAACAAGTTTTTTAAAAGATATATTTGAGGAGGAAGCATGAAAATTTACTTCATGTTAATTAATAGAGTGAGACTAGGACCAAAAATGAAAGTAAATAAAAAAAGTTGTAGAAAATGGACAATCTGACTGATGGAGCATAAAGTTGTGGACAACGCAGCTACAGTTGGTAATGAGACCAATGCTGGCTGGTTTGAATGAGAATGTCCCCCATAGGCTCCAACTATGTGACAACTTGGTCCCCAGTTTGTGGCACTGTTTCAGGAGGGTAGAACATTTAGGTGGTGTGGTCATGCTTGAGGAAGCACATCCCTGGGGACAGGCTTTGCGAAAACATAACCATGCCCAGTTCTAGACTATCTCTCTGTGCTTCTGTGCCTCCTGGAAGGTGTACTCTCGCAGCTTTCTCCTCGAGCCCCGTTCTGCTGCCATGCCTCCCCCGCCATTATCGACTATCCATTGGAACCTTAAACCAAATAAACTATTATTCTATAAGTGGCCTTGGTCATGGTGTTTTATGACAGCAACAGAAAAGTAACTGATCAATATTGTCTAAAGAGCTTAACTCTTATTTATGAAAAGAATTTCAATCAGGAGAAGTGTTTATAAAGATAAAACAAACTACTGGGTTTGGTGTTTGCCCGTCCTCCCTTTTGGAATGGTAATGTGTATTTTGTTCCAATGTATGTTGGGAGTATGTAATTTGTATTTTGATTTTATAGAGACTTACAGTTCTGATATTTAACTGAGTCTCAGAACAGACTTTGGACTGTGGACTTTTGAATAGTATTGAGACAGATAATGACTATGAGGACTTTTAAATTTGGATTAAATGAATTTTGCATTTTATACAGTCATGAGCTGCTGGGGGCCAGGGGATGGAATGTGATAGTTTGAATGAAAATGTCCCCCATAGGTGGCAAGTATTTGGACATTTTTCCCCACATGGTGTCACTGTTTAGGGAGGTTTTAGAAGGTGAGGTTGTCCTGAAGGAAGCACATCACAGGGGGTGGGCTTAGAGAGTACTTTAGCCTTGCTGGATCTCCAGTTGCTCTCTAGCTTCCTGTGCCTGTGTGATGATGTGAGAGCTTAGCTTCTGCTGCTCTTGCTGTGGCCACCTCCAGCCATCTCCAGCCACCATGATGGACTGTAATTCCTCTGGAACTGTAAGCTCAAATAAAATCTTCCTTCAGAAAGATAAACTGAGCATGGTGGTACACACCTTTAATTCTCACACTCGGGAGGTAGAGACAGGCAGGTTACTATGAGTTCAAAACCAGCCTTCTTTAGAGAGTAAGTTCCATCCCAACCAGTGAGACCTTGTCCCTCAAAATATGTAAGTATATAAATAATAAAAATAAACATGAATGCATTGGAACATGATTTACGTGTTTGTAGAATATACCATAATACCATACATAATCAACAGACTATGTAGTATATTGTATTGTAATATCAAACATTATGATTAATAAGCTCTTCAGTTATGAAATCACCTGAGAGGGCCATTTAAGATCAACATGTAAAATCTTTTTAATGGCTGCATGTTATTTGAATCAATCCCACTTCAAATGCTTGCTCTTTATTGTCATTGTTCTAAAGACTAGAGACTGTGAGCATCTTGATCCATGACTATATTAATTTGTATAAATAAAATCTTTGGCTTCATGTTGTACAGTGGAGTTGCCTGTTCCATAAACCATTGTGTTTCCATGAATGGTTATTGATAGTCTCCATTAACAGCAATTAAGCAGAGAGTCTTCTATGGAATTGATTATTAAAACTGTTTTATCAAGGACTGAAGAGATCGCTCAGCAGTTAAGAATGCTCACCACTTTTCCACAGAACCAGAGTTCATTTCCTAGCACCCATGTTGGGGACTCACAACTGGCTGTAACTCCAGCTCTGTGAAATCTTGTGCCCTCTTCCGGACACCACAGTTTCTTGCAGTCAGTGTATATGCCCATACAAAGATACACACATATACACATAATTTTAAAGTACTAAAATCATTCTTAGAACATAAATATCATCTTATAAAATGTTTTCACTCACAAAAGTAATTTTACAGCTCTCAAGTGAAAGAAAATACAGAAAATATTGGTACAAACAGAGATAAATAAAAACTATATAATTTCTTGTTTCATTGAATAGGATGAATTGAATAGGTTGAAGTTTAAGTTGAAAATTATATGGGCTGCCCTCAATCCATGAGAGAATGTGCAGTTCACTATTTGTACATAATGATACTTTTCAAATTCAGATAACACTCAGAGATAACGCCATGGGGTCTCTGCACAGAACTTATCATTGCCAGATCCCACTCCTTGTTTACATTTTCTTTGATCATTAATTTGTTCTCAGTTTCAATCCTTGAGCAAATCTTGTGCTCATCCTGTTACCCAAGGCACTATTACTTTCTACTACTCAAGTGTGTTATCCAGCAAGTGGTGAAGCCTGCTGATCACACCTCCTAATTTTACTTACATTGTGGTGACTAATACAAACATTGCTTTCACCTGGTGTACTGGATCCTATGCATCCTGTCTTCTTGTCTCATAATCTGTAACTCTATAAATATCTGATCTCCATTCAGCCCTTACAAAATTCCTTGCATTTGCTACAGTTTTACATAAATTAATCACATTCAGTTAGACTCAGTCCCCAACAGTGACTTACAGTGCTATAT